AGGAGAATCACTTGAACCCGGGAGGCGGAGGTTGCAGTGAGCTGAGATCGCGCCACTGCACTCCAGCCTGGGCGACAGAGTGAGACTCCATCTCAAAAAAACAAAACAAAACAAAACAAAACAAACAGCCAGGCATGGTGGCACGTGCCTGCAGTCCCAGCTACTCAGGAGGCTGAGATGGGGGATTGCTTGAGCCTGGAAGGTAGAAGCTGCAGTGAGCTGTGATTATGCCACTCTACTCTAGCCTGGTGACAGAGTGAGACCTTGTCTCAAAAATAATAAATAAATATAATAAAGAAAGGTGGCTGGGCGTGGTGGCTCACGCCTGTAATCCCAGCACTTTGGGAGGCTGAGGGGTTGTCAATCACGAGGTCAGGAGACCCAGACCATCCTGGCTAACACAGTAAAAGCCAATCTCTACTAAAAATACAAAAAAAATTAGCCGGGGGTGGTGGCACGTGGCTGTAGTCCCAGCTACTTGGGAGGCTGAAAAAGAAGAATCGCTTGAACCCAGGAGGCGGAGGTTGCAGTGAGCCAAGATCGCACCACTGCACTCCAGCCTGGGCAACAGAGCGAGACTCCGTCTCAAACAAACAAAGATGAAAATATCTGCAAACTACATATCCAACAAAGCGCTGGTATCTAGGATACATCAGAAATTCTCAAAACTCAACAGTTAACAAAAACTGAACAATCTAATTACAAAATGGACAAAATATATGAACAGACATTTCACCCAAGAGTATACAGGGGCCAGGTATGGTGGCTCATGCCTGAAATCCTAGCACTTTGGGACGCCAAGACAGGAGGATCAGTTTATCCCAGGAGTTCAAGACCAGCCTGGGCAACATAGCAAGATCCTATCTTTTCCAAGAAAAGAGAGAATAGACAGATGGCAAATAAGCACATGAAAAGATGTTCAACATCATTAGCCATCAGAAAAATGCACATTACAACCACAAAGAGACATTACTACACATCTATGGAATGGCTATAATAAAAAAAGTAACATCACCAAACGCTGGCAAGTATGTGGAGAAACAAGATCATACAGTGCCAGTGTGAATGCAAAATAGTACAATCTCTCTGGAAAACAGTTTGGCTGTTTGTTAATAACTAAGCATTCACTACGACTTATGACTTAGTGATTGTATTCCTGGGCATTTATCTTGGAGAAATGTCAATTCATGTTCACATAAAAACCTGTACATGAAGGTTTGTAGCAGCTTTATTTGTAATGGCCACAGAATGGAAACAGTAAAGATGTCTTTTAATGGATAAATAAACCAACGGTGGTACATCCATAGCCCAGCTTCAATAAAAAGGAATGAAGTACTTTTTTTTTTTTTTTTTTTTTGAGACAGGTTCTCACTCTGTCACTCACGCTGGAGTGCAGTGACGCGATCTTGGCTCACTGCAGCCACTACAGCCCAGGCTCAAGCGATCCTCCCACCTCAGCTTCCTGAGTAGCTGGGATTACAGGAACGCACCACTGCATCTGGCTAATTTTTTTTTTTTTTTTTTGGTAGAGATGAGGTCTCACTATGTTCCTCAGACTGGTCTTGAACTTCTGGGCTCAAGCGATCTGCCTGCCTCAGCCTCCCAAAGTTGCTGGGATTACAGGCGTGAGACACTGTGCCTGGCCAAGGAATGAACTACTGGTACACGCAACAACCTGGATGATTCTCCAGGGAATTAATCTGAGTGGAAAAAACCAATCCCAAAAGGCTCTATGAATCCCTTTATTTGGCATTCTTAATATGCCAAAATTAGGGAAATGGAGAACAGATCAATGGTTGTCAGGAGTTGAAAGACTGGGAATGGGAGGGATGTGGCTGTGGCTATAAAAAAGCAATGGAAGGGATCCTTGTGATGATGGGAATATTCTGTATCTTGAATTTTACTAATGTCAACATCTGGTTGTGATATTTACTACAGTTTTGCACAATGTTAGAGAAGTGGGAAAGGAACACAGGATCTCTCTGTACTATTTGACTGTACAGAATAAATTTTTATGTACAATTTCTTAAAATTTTACTGTTCTTAAAATAAATTTATCAATAATTTGTACAATGACCTCAAAATAAAAATTACCTAAAAATCTAAAAAGTAGATGATACTGTAGTTTTCTTTTTCCTTTTTTTTTTTTTGACCTGGAGTCTCCCTTTGTCACCCAGGCTGTAGTGCAGTGGCGTGATCTCGGTTCACTGCAACCTCTGCCTCCTGTGTTCAAGTGATTCTCCTGCCTCAGCCTCCTGCTGAGACTACCGGCCCACACCACCACGCCCTGCTAACTTTTGTATTTTTAGTAGAAACGGGGTTTCACCACGTTGGCCAGGCTGGTCTCAAACTTCTGACCTCAGGGGATCCACCTGTATTGGCCTCCCAAAGTGCTAGGATTATAGGTGTGAGCCACTGCGCCCAGTTTGTTTTTTTTTGTTGAGACAGGATCTCACTGTGTCACCCAGGCTGGAGTGTAGTGGTGCAATAATGGCTCACTGCAGCTTGGACCTCCCCTGGCTCATGCCATCCTCCAACCTCAGCCTCCTGAGTAGTTGGGACTACAGGTATATGCGGTATATGCCACCATACCCTGATAATTTTATTTTTTGTAAATGCAGGGTATCACTTAGGTTGCTAAGGGTGGTCTCCTTGAACTCTTGAGCTCAATCGATATTCCTTCCACAGTCTCCCAAAGTGCTGGGATTACAAACGTGACCCACCACGACTGGCTGAAATTGTGCACGTCAAATGGGTGAACTGCATGGTATGTGAATTTTATCCCAATAAAGATATTATTTAAACAGAAAAAGTAACTGAAATGTGAAAAGTGTGCTTAAAAAAAAATAATGAGGGGCCGGGTGCAGTGGCTCACGCCTGTAATCCCAGCACCTTGGGAGGCCAAGACGGGTGGCTCACCAGAGGTCAGGAGTTCGAGAACAACCTAGCCAAGGTGGTGAAAACCCATCTCTACTAAAAATACAAAAATTAGCCAGGCGCGTGCCTGTAATACCAGCTACTCGGGAGGCTGAGGCAGGAGAATCACTTGAATCCAGGAAGGCAGAGGTTGCAGTGAGCCAAGATCGTGCCACAGCACTCCAGCCTGGGCGACAGGGTGAGACTCCATCTCAAACAAAACAAGACAACAACAACAAAAAATGAGCATACAGTGACCTTTATTCAACTTTCCAAGATCCAGTCCTCAGCTAATTTACAAAACTACAATAGTGGTATATACTCTCCTAGGTCTACACGGCAAAGTACAGTTTGTTGCAACTAATGCTGCCTTATACAAAAAGGCTTTATCCTATGCCACCCATCCTAAACCCAGCTGTTCACAGCAGTGTACCTGGAAATCAGCCTCAGGGTACGGACTGCAAGACAAGGCACAAGGAAACCCTAACACGAAGTCCTATATTCTGGGCAAAGGGATGGGGATGGCAGGTGGGACGCACTCGGGTCAGGGCGAGGGCACGGCAAGTTTTCTATTAAATCTCAGTAGGTTAAAACTCATATCCATGGTCTGATACATTTTCGAGGGAAAATGGTGCTTGAAAGATGCTTCTACGGAAAACAAGGTTCATCTCAGTCAATCTGTTCGTCCCAACTTTGGGCAGCAGGTGTGGGGGCGGGGCCAAGGTCTGCGCCGTAATCTAAACAGGCAGTCCCACCCAGGGCCACCCCAAGGCTAGATGCTCCGACGCGACTCGAGCAGGCCACACTATCTTTCGGACAAAGCGACGCGGTCCTCACAGGCGGGAAGGAGAGTGCGTCCCGGTCGGGAAGGACGCCGCCGGAGAGCTGCCCGCCCACGTGACGCCCGCGGCGACCTTGGGGGTCACCCTTGCGGACGCACCGCCCTCTCCCTCACATCCGCCGCCGCGCCCGCCCCTCGCTCTACCACCGCCAATGGCGCGTCGCTCCGCGCCCCGCGCGACCGAGTTCGAGAACAACCTAGCCAAGGTGGTGAAAACCCATCTCTACTAAAAATACAAAAATTAGCCAGGCGCGTGCCTGTAATACCAGCTACTCGGGAGGCTGAGGCAGG